CACACTTTGCCAGTGCTAAACATAGATCACAGAATGGTTTAGGTTGGAAGGGACCTCAAACACCATCCAGTTCCATCCCCCTGACATGGGCAGGACAACTTCTACTAGACCAGGTTGCTCCTTTGCCTTGACCACTTAGGCATGTCCTGCCCTGCTCAACAATCATTTATGCCCTGCAGAACTTCTCCATGGCCAAGTGTCACAGCAGAAGGCCAGGATGATTTGCATCTCTCACCAGCTGTGCAGCTGGTCCACTCCTACTTGGTCATGTCAAAATTTTAGCCAAAATTTGTATATCAAGGATATATATATATGTTTGGTTCTTTTTAATTTTTAAATTTTTTTTTATCCAATTATAACTGAGTAGCAATTGCTTTGTCAAACCAGGGAGCTGGAGAGTAAATTATGACCAAAAGAAAAATAATCATGAAGCAGGAATGAGACACAATTTAGGGGTAGAACTGTCAGTGTTGGATTAACAGCTGGACTTGTCGCTATTGGAGGTCTTTCCCAATCTTAGTGATTCCATGATTCTACCTCAAATATATTTAGTTAATGTGTCTGGAGACCTTTAGCCTTCTTGAAGCCTGTTAGAACATGACAGCTCCTTGGGATGGTCATGGAGAGCATTCCTGGAATTTGGAGTCGGGCTCATCTCCCTGCACGTCAGTGGTCTGAGTGATCTGTCTGGTCCAAGGGGAGCATGGGGCTTTTCCAGGGTGTGATTCATCACACTCAGCATGGATGTGCTCCTCAGACTGGAATTGCTCACACATCAGTATCTGGGAATTACAGGGCCGATGAATTCCGTGGTGGCCTCACTTTTCTCAGTCCCCCTAAGGTAAAGTTGTCCATCCACACATTTAAACACCTTCCATCATGTCAACACCTCCCACGGGTGCTTCAGCCCACCCCAGGAGGGGAGTCTGAGGTGAATCAGCCCCAGGAGGTTCACTGACGAGATGAGTCCCTCTGGCTGTCCCACCACACTCTGAGGCATCACCAGATGAAATTACATCCCAGCAAACAGAAATCTCCTAATAGCAGAAAGTCACTTTCCTATGCTCAGCCCTCACTAATGGAGAAAAGTTCCCTCAAAGACAATTTTTTTTTTCTTGTTGGTAGAGTATTTTTTATAATAATTAAATTATAATTATTACAGTGATAATGAAAATAAATATAATTATTATAATGATTATTGACTCCAAGGAGCACAAAGGTTAGAAAATACTTTTGTGTTTGTTGGATACCAGAAAACACTTTCAGCTCTGTGTTAGACAAATAAACACAGGTCTGTTCTGACCAAGTTGGTTTTATTCACTTTTGAACTGACACAAATTTCAATTTGAGTTATGGCTTTCAAAAGCCTCATTAAAGCAAACAGCCAAGCTCTGCACAGAGCTAAAATAGAAGGTATTTTCTGATAAAAGTGAGATCTTAGGGATATCTTGTCATACAGTATTTTCTTTCCTATTGAATTTACCATTCACCAAATCTTCCATTATTATTTGAAGTATCATTTAAAGCAAGACAAAGTTCAATGTGATAAATGCTGACTCTTAAAAAAAAAGGAACCCCAGTGAAATAATGAACTATTTTAAAATTCTAATTTTTTAAAACTATTTTAACATCCTCTGGGGATTACAGTCATGGGGATTCTCAATAAGTAGGGATTTCTGAGTGGATTTTATTTTTCAAAGAATCACAGCAGTCAAATTAGAAATGTATCAAAAATTTAAGCTAAATATCAGCCAATATGACTAACTTCCTAACACTGAAGGTCTTGCTCTTCATGATTCTTCAAAAGCATAACTGGAGAACTTTTCATCCTTTCACTGGAATTATTTTAATGCATAAGACATATAATAAATGTTTTTCGAAGAAGGACTCATCAGTATTGTTCAATCAGGATAAATGTGCAACAATCCATAGATTCAGACACAGCAAACAGCTTCTCAGGAGTTTTCATTTTCAAATCTTTTACACAACACAGCAATTACACAGATAAATTAACTATTTGTGCAGAGACTGGGCTGTTTGAGTGTCTTTTTTTTTTTATTTTTAATTATGGAAGTGGCTGGGTCTGTCAGTTTCCCCCCAAAAAGTGATTAACAAAGATGGCCCTGACAGAATATTTTAGCTCACTCAGATTTCACCTGTCTGGAATCCCACTGACAAACCAACAACTGGTCGTGGAAGGGTGAAACCAAATACAGCTCGGCTAATCTGCTCTGTCACATGCTGGGGCTTGTAATGCAGCTGATAATATCCTCAAATTGAAGATACAGATTTGTTTGGCATCATCTTAAAATCAGATTGCCTTGCAGACCACGCCAAACCCAAACTTGCACTGTGCTGGGACAGACAAAGGGCTTCATAAATCTCTATGAAGTGGGGTTGGAAATGGATGATCTTTGAGGTATCTTCCAAGCCAATTTTATGGTTCATTCAAGTTACCTGCAGACAGGAAATGACACAGAAAAGCACAGACACGACTTACAGAAGCCCCCACCCACACTTACCTGACTCCACGGCTTCTTTAACCATCACGGCGCAGTAGGGGTTAATCACCTCCCCCTGGGACGGCAGGTAAGGGCCGCTGTCATAGTTGGACAAACCAATACGCAGGAAGGGAGACATGACAAGTCCTGTGCCAAACAAAAGACAGGCAGCACTTGGGAGAGAGTCTAAAAATTGCCCTGGTTTTGACCAGCCCCTTATCTCCGTCGGGCAGCGGGACGGAGTTAGCGTAAAAACCAACTCCGCTAGTTATCCATCCAGCTGGAGCCTCTCTGACTTCCTTCCACGGACTGAGCCAGCGCTGCTGGACGTGCCCAAGGTACTGAAACTCAGCTGTCGGCTTAACCACGGAGCTGAACTCATCACAGGGCTGGGAAAACCCACAGGAGAAGCCCTGGGCGCTGCTGACTTCACGCCGACCGTCGGGAACGAGGGCGACAATGCACAGGAGTCACAAATCAAAGCTTTCTTGGCCTGGGACAAACCTCTGCTGTAATTGATGTTGAGTCACATCAAGAAGCTGAGTGCTAAGGGAGTAGAGAGGGGTTTGGGTATACTGTTGGAAGCCTGCAAACTGAACGTGAAACTGTGAAATAGCTGTGCACTATTTATATACGGCATGGAAAGGAGCTCAGGCATTCCTGGGTGCTGAACCATATTCACAAGTGAAGCTATAAAGAGAAAGCTCAGCTCATATGAACCACACTGTATAGACAGTGAAACAAAATACCCCACCAGAAAAAACGGCACCTCAGGATTTATTTTGAGCAGCTGAAAACAGAAACAAATACAATCAAGGTGCCAGGAAACACTACAAAGCCTTTGGGTTGAAACACTACAAGACTTTCTCTACAAGGTCTTTCAAAGCCTTCAGAGAGAAGATTTAGTGAAACCAAAAATTATTAACTGTTGTAGCTAATGCCCATCATTTCACCATCTGGGCCCAAAACTGGGATTTACCACCCAACTTTTGTCTCATCATCTGAGCTTGTCATTCCTGGCTTCTTCTCCAGTCAATGGGGAGCAAGAGGCACTTTGAACTCAGCTGCAGATGTCTGTCTTGGACCACCAGAGTTAAAAGCCATCAGTGCTATCACCAGCTGCTATCTGTCAAATATATTGACAACGACACATTGTTCAAGCACAACAGCAAAAGGATGAATGACTCGTGGTGTGGGATGCAGCCAAGTCTCTTCTGCATTTTACACATAAAAATGATCTTTCTAAAGGGAAGCTTCTCTAGCCTCACTTGGAAGAAATTCCATGTTTTTGTTGGGAATAACATCTTCTTACCTGCAAATGGTATTTTCCTGACAGATAAGTTCAGTCTCTGAGAGGGGCTTCTCTTTTCATCACTGTTGTGGACAACATGGAAAGGCTTTTCTCAGCTGAAGGAATAACTGCTCCTCTGGCCAGGCTGACTTCAAAACCTGCCTCTCTGTTCAAGGACACAGGAGGCAAGACCATCAAGAGAGAAAAACTTGAGGAACCAAGATGTAACCCTTTGCCTGAGTGTCTTCTCTCTTCCCCAGCAGTGTGGAGTGATGAGTTTCCATCAGCCCCTCGTAGAAAAGTCTGGGGCTGCTACAAAACCCAGAACAACTTTTCCTCAGTGCATGGCCAGGTTGCAGCAGCTTGCTGCTCCACTTGTATCCTGGATCTGATGAGATCTTCTCTTTCCTCCTGTTTTATAAAACAAAGACAAACTGCTGCAGTTATTGCTGGGACTGGAAAACCAAATCTTCTGGCTGAGTATTCATAAGCACTGAGCACTCACATTCCAACATTTTCCGACACAGATGGCTCATGAAGCCAACTGTCCGTGTTCTCTGACAAAGAATTTGCCTTCCCAGAAGGTTTCCCTAAATTATCTACTCTACATCAGGCCAATTTATACAATAAACAGCATCTGAAGACTCTCGTTCCCATTTGAGCTCCTGGGTGTGTTAGCCAACAACCAGGCTGCGTTTTCAGGAAAACAGCAAAATCTCACAAACTCTCTTGGATACTGCACTCAAAAGAGAAGAAAACCACCAGGTTTCTGGGAAAGGGAACGTGGGGCAGAGAAAGAGAAAAATGTCCTGTGACTCATGTCTGTTGTGTATCTCTAGGAATGCAGAGGTAATGGATCTCTGCATGTGGCATTGCCCTCGACCAGGAAAACATCAGAGCTTCTGCAAAGTCACAAAAGCTGGTGGGAAAGGCAAAGCACCAGGTGGGGCTGGATACAGGCAATCAGAACAATCCTGTTCTCCTCTGGATGAGGGCATCATCTCTGAAGGATGTTTCACATTAGCCAAGTGCCTGATGAAGCTGCTTTGGAGAGCCACTTACATTTAGATAGATCCTCAAGCACAGCTAGACCTGTGGCACTGCAGAGAAGTACAGCGAGTGGGTTTTGAGTGCTCCATGGCAAGAAAAGGCTAAAAGTTCTACCTCAACTTTTAGAAGCAGAGAAACCTGATCAAATTAAGAAGGGAACAATCTCTTCAGTGGAAATAAATATGTATATATATGTATATATATTTTCCCTCTCTGTGCAATGCAGATATTTATTATTAGACATTAAACATTTCCTTTGTTTCAAAAAACAAGAGCCCATGAAGTCTAAAGACAAAAGGAAAAACAAATCAAAGGGTTTCTGGAAGCAGAGGGGAATTTCAAGGAGCTGTATATTCTGTAGCATCAGTGTGGAAAGCTAAAGATTGGCAGAGACTAAAACCAACAGCCAAAACACCTTCATTGAACTTCTGTGTGTGAACAGAAATGTCCTCTCTACCATACTCCACCAATTCTGGTCACTGCTGGGCAAGAGGAAATTATGATCTTCTTCCAAATCCCTAATTCCTACACCTCTGGCTTTAGGAACCTGTTGTACCCCAAACAGGGGAAGTGCAAGGGGTTAAGCATTCCCTTACCAGGACTTTCCAAATTCACCTTTAAAAGCTCAGAGTGCCACTTAAAATTATTAGTCAGTGTGTTGGGCATCTAAGAACATGAGTGTTGCAAAGATCTTTTGATGGCTCATCAGCAATAAAATGTGGTGGCACTACTGCCTCAGGTACTAAAGAAATAAAATTAGGACTAAACATTTGAGGTGCAATTCATCACACTTCAATTAAATCAATGTATTCACAACATAGGTAGAACTGTGAAAGCATCTTGTGCTGATAAATACTCTTATCATGCTCCAAAAATCATAGCTTAGATGTGCTACGAGACACCAGTTCAGGTCTGGATCAGCTCCGTGAGCAGTGGCATTTAAAACTTTCCTTCATCTTAAATGCTGGATGTTCCCTCCCTCCCCTCCAGTGCAACACCAGATTTTGGCTCTCTGCAATCAAGCACTTCCTGATCAGGTATCCCAGAGATGTCATGGAATCTTCACTCTTGACATATTCAAAAGCCATCTGGGCATGATCCAGGGCAGCTCCTGGTGTCCCTGTTTGGGCAGGAGAGGGGGACAAGAAGAGGTCACTTCAAAGCTCAAGCAGCCTGTGGTTCTGTGAAGACACAGTGGGACAGATCTCACCAAGACCCAGATGTCTGCAGCATCTGCAACCCCAGGTCAGGCAGTCACCTGAGCTCCTGAGAGAGGAACAGAGGGAAGTTGGTGCCCTCAGATCTGGAACCACCAATGTGAGATTTCCCTCCTTTGAGAGTCAATGGGAATACCTGAGAAGCACTTTCACTGCAAGATCTGGTTTTGATCAGATTCCTCAAACCATTAAAATTGCAATGGATGCCTTCAATGTATCAAATCTGAGAGACTTGTGCTGGAACTTCACATAAACCAGTTTACTGCAGGAGATGCTCTGCAGCCTCCAGCAAACAGGTGAAAACTTTCCACCAGCTGCAAAGCACATGGGTTTGGCACAGGAAGAGTCAGCACTGATAAACCAACAGCTGCCCTTATTCTAAGCCTTGCAAAGGCTGGCTCAAGCTTGCTAAAACCAGAGTTTACTGCTGCACCAGCTTCGTGTGACTGCTCTGCTCTGGGGTGGATTTCTTTACCCTGCCCAATAAATCAGACAGATAACTGGTTTCTTGCTTTTCTCTCTTCTCTCCCACACTCTGTTTCCTGAAACCACCTTGGCTTTGGCCCAAACATCTGTTTTCCAGGTCAGATTTCCAGCGTTTGCCACTACAGGACTGCTACTTGGCTGGCATCCATGGCCATAAACAATTAAGCAACAACACAATTCAGCTCCAGCACGGCTCGCTGTAATAGCAGCAGTTTAATTTAACACCAGAAACAGCTGCACTGGATATGGAGAGTGTCTGCTTAATTTCCCAGTGGAAAGGATCCTGTGAGGTATCTGGGAACCAAGGATGAAATGCAGCTTTCTGTAAGAGGCCACCTGCAACCTCTCCTACAGAGAAACATTAAACACGGCATAATTGGGGTTCAGCAATGCTGCACCCCACTTTGCTCCCCACTTTAGGGAGCTCTGCCCACTCTGGGGAATAATGCAACATATGGAAATTATTCCCAGATGATATTAGGAAGTAAAAAACTCCTTAACATCCCTAATCAATTGTGATTAAGTAGAGAGGAAGAAATGAGTTCCCGCTCCCAGTCAGCAGAAGATCTGGCTGGAGGACAGCTGCCTGTGATGGGATTTTTGCTTTTGCCTTTCACTGACTGAAAATGGAGGCATGTGTGACACAGTAAAGATGGCAATTTACTGAACAAGGGCCAACTGAAAAGGGAAGTATTTCTGGATTTGAGATGCTACTTTTTCATGTCATCAAACTGTCATTTTCTCAAGGTCAGAGGGAACATTTCCAGCTCTCTCTCCTTTTTTTGAGGCAAAACTGCTTTCAAAACGAGTTCATAATCTCCAGATCAGCATCACTAAGAGGGAAAGGATCCAGGAGTTATAGCTGGAGGGTATGAACATTCTTTCACCTCTTTTCCAAGGTATCTCCCAGCAAAAAAGGCAGGTCCTGACCCTGCAGAGATCTGTTTGTAAGGTTGGTGGAGACCTGCACATGAGCATTACACACCTCAAAGCCTTCCTGAAGATTTCAAGAGCAACACTGAACATCAGTAGGGATGGCTGAAGTCCCTTTCTCCATCTCCTGACTGCTCATATCCCACAGACCAAACAGGAGGGAACGGGGATCTAAATAACTCCCCCAAGTGACCCATTTTGGGTCCCCCATCAGCTGTTATTTCAAAGGAGATCAAACCCCATGAAGGAGGAAGTTCAGAACCCCTCTGGATGCCATCCAACATTTCTCACACATCTTTTGACAAGGATGTGAATCAGAGGAGGGAAAGGAGGGGAAGTTGCAGAGCCCTTTGATTTTCCCTCTCTCTGTAGTCAGCCACCCCATCTTCAACATCTCACAAAGGTGTTGGAGAGAGAGAGTGAGACAAGCCAGGACGAGCTGTCTCTGATGGGACTGGTACAACACCAGACTCCATGCAACTGAAGAGCCTCCCAAAACTTCCTGGAACCACTTGATTTCAAAACAGAGGCGATGCTCCCCACACAAACCCTTTCCCATCACTTGCAGATGCAGAAGACCCGGGCAAAGCATTTCTTTCCCCTCTGGAAATGAGGCTTGCAGGCTTTCCTAGGACCAGTGTCAGGCACAGGGATGGATATTTCTCTTTAAAACCCTCTGGGTTGTCTTGTGAAGCTGAGT